CACAACCTGAAGGTTTTGTCGACCAAAACAATGCTAAGAAGGTATGCAAGCTTAATAAGTCCATTTATGGATTAAAGCAAGCAAGCAGAAGTTGGAATCTGCGATTCGATGAAGTTGTTAGTAAGTTTGGTTTTATCAAGAATCCAGATGAGTCTTTTGTTTACAAGAAGGTCAGTGGGAGTGACATCGCCTTCCTAGTCTTATATGTCGATGACATTTTTCTCATTGGAAATAGCATTCCGTTGTTGGAGTCTGTAAAGACCTGGATAGGGAAATGTTTTTCAATAAAAGACTTGGGAGAGGCTCAGTTTATACTAGGCATCAAGATCTATAGGGATAGATCAAAGAGGATGATAGGATTGAGTCAAAGTACTTATATCGATAAGGTACTATCTCGATTCCAAATGGAAGGAGCCAAGAGAGGCCACCTACCCATGTCACATGGAATAACCCTAAGCAAGAAGCAGTGTCCAAAGACACCTGATGAGTGGGAAAGGATGAATCGGATTCCATATGCTTCGCTTATTGGATCTATCATGTATGCCATGATATGTACTAGGCCAGATGTATCGTATGCCTTGAGCGCTACGAGCCGATACCAATCAGACCCAGGAGAGGCGCATTGGACTGCGGCCAAAAGTATCCTAAAATACCTGAAAAGGAACAAGGATAAATTCCTGGTCTATGGTGGTAAAGATGAATTGGTTGTTGAGGGATATACCGATGCAAGCTTCTAGACAGACAGAGACGACTTCAAGTCACAATCCGGATACATTTTGTCTCAATGGAGAAGCGTTTAGTTGGAAGAGTGCTAAGAAAAGCATTACTACTGAGTATACAACTGAAGGTGAATACTTGGCAGCATCTGAGGCAGCTAAGGAGGCAGTTTGGATTCGCAAGTTCATTGGGAAACTTGATGTTGTACCCTCTATCAAGGGTCCAATAGACCTCTATTGTGACAACAATTGAGCTATTGCTCAGGCTAGAGAGCCACGAGAACATCAGAAGGTCAAACATGTCCAGAGGCGATTTCACATGATTCAAGAATGGAAGTCAGAGGGTGAAATCAGAATTTGTAAAGTAGGAACGGATGATAATGTAGCCAATCCACTCACTAAACCTTTGCCTCAAGTGAAGCACAACAAACACATTGAGGCAATGGGAATCAAGCATGTCGTGAACTGGCTTTGATTTCCTTACTATAGTGTTTTAATTAAATTTTGGACAATGTTAATGTAAAGCACTATGATGAACCATTCAGTTATGGAGTAATTAAATTTTTCATGCAATTTAAACACTCCGTCTCTATTTAATTGTGGTTTAGAATTAAATATGAGTCCATTCAATTTTAATAAATATTCAAAATAGGGTATCAAAACAATGTCTTGGATAAAGAAACACCTATTAAGTGAACATTGAATATTTTAATCGAAAATTATCCCTAATCAAGGTCATTTATTTGTGGACGATTAATGACCATTAGAGATTAGTGTGTAGTATGATTTATAGCACCGTTTCTTGTGCTATGAGAATATAAAACATTTGCACAGGTATTGGTTTAGAACCATACTAGATCGACCTATGAGAATACTTTAAGAGATTAAAATCGTCATAAGTATTTTTCTCATTATTACTATCGGAACTTTTTTCCTCGACCATGAGTAATGGGAGGTCTCTTGTTTGAGTACTAGTCCGTTTTTGGTATCCGTCAAACGGCTGCCGTAATAGGAGACTATAACGACAGATACCAGGCAGCTAGGTCCTCTTAGTAAGAGAAGCTACATTGCGAGACTGGGAATGTCCCCCTACTAACAATAGGGAACATGTCCTGTTGTTTACAAGGCCTCTCGAAGAGCGAGACTGTGAAAATGCATGGTCGTGCTCAGATGGATTTTAGAAATCATCTGCTTATTGACAGTCAAACTCGAATTTTGAGAAACACTTGTGGACGTAACAGGGATGACGAATAATATTACCCTGTAGTTCATGGAGAGACATGAAGAGACATAGGAAAGGGGCTATACACTAAATGCTCACTTGTCCGGAAGGACAAGTGGGAGATTGAAAGGAATGGTTTCCTTCGAACAAGTGTATTATTCTGATAGCTGGTTCACGGAATTATTAGAAAGCTAATATATTCAGTAAGGTCAAGTGATCGGAATACCTGGGTGAAGGCCGCTTTCGATCAGTAATATTAATGTATAATTAATATTACACCTTAATCTTGCCTGAACCCTTCGGGTCATACCCAAGCAAATATAAGAACCGACTCGACGAATTAATTCGGAAGAAATTAATTCGTCGCCCGAATGTTAAATATTTAGACGTCGGAAATTCGAGCTCAGAGCGTCGAAAGTCGAGTCAAAATAGTAAAAGACGAGACAGAAAAATTATTAATAAATCAACAATGACTAAAATACCCCTAGCATCGGAATTCCGAGTGCTAGGGGATTAGGCAAGCTAGCAGCCCGCACCATGTGCGAGGCTTGCTAGCAAGCTACAGCCAGCAGCCCACAAGCATTGCGTGGCTTGCTGGCGCGCGCTGCTGCTAGCAGCCCGCACATATGTGCGTGGGCGTGCTGGGCCGAGAAGGCAGCAGCTAGCAGCCCGCGTGTGCGGGGCTTGGCTGGGCCGGGTGCTAGGGCCGAGTCATTGGGGAAGCATGTGAAGGGAGTGTGTTTGTGTGAGGACAAGTGGCACAAGGAGAGGAAGGAGTGGGGAGAAAGTATGGTCCCCTCCTCTCCAAGTGGTCCTCACTTCTCTTTACATACAACAAGGACACTTGTTGATTTATTACTTGCTTGCCTATTTAATTTATTTTATCTTTAAATTAAATTGTGGAATTTCATGATCCCACATTGATGGGATTGAAATTCTCAATCCCATTTTTCTCTATAAATACCCATCTTGGGATTTGGAGAAAAGTGCTTGAGTGGGAGTTAGAAAGAGCATTGCATTTTGGAAAAAACTCTTCAACTCCATTAACACTTGCGTTTTTGTCGGACCTTGCTAACATCAAGGTAGCGGACCTAAAAAGTCGGTGTTCGTCCTTTGTGGGTGGATACCGTTGGAGGCTCGGTATTTTTGGAGCTAGAGCTTTCAAGTACGAGCCCGTTTGTGAGGGCGAGGAACTCTTCAAAGGTATATTCCGGTTTTCTCTTTCTCGTGTTTATTAGTTATGCTTTATGGTTTTATTAATTGCGAGTGGTTCTTTGGGTCGGGGTTGTTTCCGTGTTGAGTCGGACTCACCAAACCCTAACAGATAGCTCATCATCTAGCCAATCATCTATCCATACACTGCCTGATATCTCATATCATGAAGATATCGATAAAATTACTTGTAAACATATTTGCGTACAAGAAATTGATCTTGATCATGATGCATTTTCTAATAATGAACTTTTCAATGAACCAAAATCATGTGTGACACCCATGGAAGAGTCTATAACTGTAAACATAGGTATGTATAATGATGTAAAAGAAGTCAAGATAGGATCTTCCCTTTCCCTTGATGAACAAAATGCATTCATTATTTTACTTAGAGAATATGTGGATGTGTTTGCATGGTCTTATGCTGATATGCCTGGTGTCGATCGTAATGTTTCTGAACATCGTATACCGCTCTACCCCGATAGCAAGCTAAAGAAATAAAAGTTTTGTAGAATGAAACCAGAAGTTAGTCTCAAAGTTAAAGAAGAAATTCAAAAGCAGCTTGATGCCAACTTCATCAAACTAATCAAGCATCCGGAATGGCTGGCAAATGTGGTGGTAGTGCCCAAAAAGGATGGAAGGGACAGAGTATGCATTGATTTTAGGGATTTAAATTCAACATCACCAAAAGACTATTTTCCTTTGCCCCACATTGATGTTCTGGTTGATAACACTGCTGGACACGCCATGTTCTCATTCATGGACGGATTCTCAGGATACAATCAGATACTTATGTAGAAGAAGACATGTCCAAAACTTCTTTTATTACCCCATGGGGAAATTTTTTTTATAAAGAAGTGCCCTTCGGATTAAAGAATGTTGGGGCAGCCTATCAACGGGCTGCAACAACCATTTTCCATGATCTCATCCATGATATTGTGGAGGTCTATGTTGATGACATGATTGTCAAAATTCAGGACCGTGAGACGCACGTTGATGCTTTAAAACCATTCTTTGACAGAATTAGGAAATATAATTTGAGATTAAATTCTCAAAAATGTGTATTTGGAGTAACTTCGGGAAAGCTTCTAGGCTTCGTTGTAAGTCAAGATGGAATTAAAGTCGACTCTGACAAGGTAAAGGCCATACAAGAGCTTCCTCCACAAAGAACAGAAAACGAGATTCGGGGATTTCTTGGTAGAATCCAATATATTAGTAGGTTTATATCACAATTGAAAACCCAGTGTGAACCTATATTCAAGTTACTTAAGAAAAATGTTCCTACAAAATGGAATGACGAATGTCAGGCTTCATTCGATTCTATGAAAGAATACCTCTCCAATCCTCCAGTTTTAATGCCACCTAAGCCGGGGCAGCCCTTGATATTATATCTTACTATTACGAAAACGACCATGGGAGCTCTTTTGGCACAATACCAAGAGGGTACAAGGAAGGAAATATCTATCTACTACCTTAGTAAAAAGTTCCTTGAGTATAAAACTAGATACACTCCTTTGGAAAAAGCTTGCATTGCCCTTATTTACGCAACAAAGAAGCTTCGACATTATTTACAAGCACATATTACTTATCTGGTTTCGAGGTTAGATCCAATCAAGTACATTTTTGAGAAGCCAATCTTGAGTGAAAGAATAGCAAGGTGGCATGCGATATTATCAGAATTTGACATTCAGTGTGTAAATCAAAAGTTTGTCAAAGGGAGGGCTATATCTGAAGCTTTGGCTGATGGACCTATATCGAGTGATGAATTTGATGATGATTTTCTAAATTAACATATTTTTTGTCTTAGTACGTCACAATGGAAGATATATTTCAACAGAGTCTCCAACAGGATGGGCAATGGTGCAGGAGTATTATTGATCGATCCTTATGGAGTACATATTCCCTTCGTTGTGAAGCTTAGTTTCCCAACGACAAATAACACGGCTGAATATGAAGCTTGCATGTATGGAATCAAAGCAGCTTTAGCTGGTGCAAAAAATATCACAGTATACGGTGATTCTTATCTCATAATTTCCCATACTATTGAAGCTTGGAAAGTTTGGGATGAAAGGTTACAAATGTACACGGAGTATCTTCAACAATTTATCCCATTCTTTAAACAAATAGAGTTCAAACATCTCCCTCGTGAGCAAAATAGCTTCACCGATGCTTTGGCAAATCTTGCGGTAAATTTGACTTGGGATTATGATGTGAAGGTACAATCAGTAACTTTTGTAGAAAAAGAAATTCCAATGGTTAATTTTGAACCAACAATTGCTTTATTAACCCAAGAAGATGATGAGGATGCTTGGTATACTGATGTTAAGAAGTATTTAATCGATGGAGAATATCCTGAAGGAAGTCACAAGAAGGATCAGTTGGCTATTTGAAGGCTAGCATCTCATTTCACAATATTAAAAGGTTTGTTGTATCATAAAAGTTTCGATGGAAATTTGCAGTTATGCATTGACGAGGAACAGACACAAAGGATCATGGAAGAAGTACATAGGGGAAAATGTGGGCCTCATATGAATGGACGAATGCTTGCTCGGAAGATTATTCGAGCAAGGTATTATTGGACCACTTTGGAAAGTGATTGCATCCATTTCGTACAAACATGCAAAAAATGTCAGCTATTTGCAAACCTTAATCATATGCCGCCAGTTATCCTGAATAATTTTACTTTGCCATGGCCTTTTTTTAGTTGGGGCATAGATATCATTGGGCAAATACATCCGAAAGCTTCGAATGGGCATCAATATATACTGGTTGCTGTCGATTATTTTTTGAAATGGGTGGAGGCATCATCATATTCAAAACTGGGGGCAAAACAAGTTTCAAAATTTGTCATCAATAACATTATATGTCGGTATGGGGTACCTTTTGAAATATCTCCGACAATGGTTCACAATTTGAAGGCCATCTTAAAGAAACCCTTGAGAAATACAAAATCAGACATCACCAATCGTCACCATATCGTCTCAAACCAATGGAGTTGTTGAAGCAGCTAACAAAACCATCAAGACGATAATTGCCAAGATGACAGATAGGGCTCGAGAACGGCCTATAAGCTTCCCTATGCACTTTGGGGATATAAGATTTCCATTGGAACACCATATGGGACTACTCCATATTGTTTGATATATGGGATGGATCCGCTTCTTCCAATCAAAACAGAGATTCAATCTCTTCGCGTAATGAATGAAAGCGAAATATCTCAAGAACAATGGTTTAAAGAACGATACGATGAGCTTTCTTTAGCAAGTGAACGAAGGTTGCAAGCCCTTCACAACATCCAAATTTATCAAAGATGCATTGCTCAGTCTTTTAATAAAAGGGTCAGGGAAAGGAATATAAAAGAAGGAGATTTGGTACTCAAGGAAAATCGAGCACCGATTCATGATCCACGTGGAAAGTTCAAGCCAAACTGGTATGGTCCCTTCCTGGTCAAACATCTTACACCAGCAGGGGCAGTAAAATTGATGGATCTTGATGGAAATGAGTTTGTTCATTTCACCAACCTTGATTAGTTGAAAAAGTATTATGCTTAATTGGTACAGTGTTGTATTTGTGAGATTCATAACAAAAAAAAAAAGTGAATCTCCTACTAGCTTTAGATAGGTATATGTGTATCATGTTAAAGTTTAGATTTCATTCATGTTTGCATTACATGCTTAAGGGTCATGTAGAAATATTCATTATTATTAAAAGATCATGATCAAGTTAATACTTAACAAAATATGATTACAACGAACAAACTTTTTTTTATTCATAACACCATACCCGAAAGACCAATGCCTTCGGATACGATTTCTTCTTTTGGAATTGAAAAATACATAAGTAGGGGAAACACAAATACAAATTCTGAAGTACAAATAACGAAATCCCTCTAAGGATTTATTCAAGCATCACCCTTGAGGTTCTCCAACAGCCATGTTGTATAGGACGCGGTTAGAACATCATCTTCGAGGACTGAAAGTGTTGGAAGCATTCGTGCAAATTTCCATACACGAGATGACGCCCTAAGAGCTTCCACACTACCAATTTCATAAGTGGTGTAAGGCACCACTGGGAGCTCATGGAGCTCTAGGAGTCGTTGGAGTTGGCCCGCTTGTCTCAAGCATCTCCAAGGAAGATAGAATGCGACGCGACACAATCTTGGAAGTTGAACACCTCTGCGCCTGCTAGTGCTAATTGTTATGGAATTTATGCTGAGAAATGAAATGATCCATTCCACATCAGCTGCGGCAAAGACGTTATTCCATCCACCATGGTTGCAACATTGACGAAATATAGGAAAAAAGCCTCTCTCCCGAATATGTCGGGTTTGGTAAGGAGTTCGAAAAGGTGGTCTAGACAGCTTGAATTTCTCGCATAACCAAAGTTGAATCACAATTGGACACCCTTTAACAAAACCACCTGGATTTTGTTTCAAATGGTCAAGCCCCATCATAAGTTCTCCTAGGATAGAGGCCCTAAATGGTTCCCTAACTCAATCTGTGACAACAAAAAAGACAACTAACATGAAAGGAAAATAATGATTCCTTGAGTAAAATAAGAACGAGCATTAAAAGGATGCAAGCTCTTTCTTAGCACTTTTTGAAATCCTCATTGTTGGCAAATTCCCAATGAGATAAAGAGAAGGTTTCAAGGAAGTTCTCTAACATTAAAATGTCAAGCAGGCGATAATTGCTTTCCATATTTAATGGTATACCTAGCAAATCCCTCATAATCGCATTAGTTGCCCTTGGGTCAGCAGGTATAATCACAAGGCCTTCTTTATGAAGACCTAGTAATCCCTCCACTTATTCTAGAAGAGGAGTCATTTTCGTCTCTCCAAAGCAAAAAACATGGCGTTCTTCATCCCAAAATTCAACAGCAACATGAATCATATCATACCGAGGTTGAATAACTAGGAGAGGGGTGATGGTTCTGGTGAAGACACTTGTATAAGGGGAAAGGCGAGGTGGATAAATATTTTCTACCACCCCTTTTAGTTGGAGCTTTCTAGCTCCACTGATTTCATAGAAATCTTGAAACATGACATTCATTTTTTTCTTAGAAATTTGAGGAGAGAAGAAATAAGACTTAAGAAGCTTGAAAGAAGAAGAAGGGAGTTGATTTGATGTAGAAAATAATGAATACCACCTCCTTTTATAGGGGTGGTGGTGATAATGGAGCCAGGAAGAAAAGGTCGAAGGAGTTTACTTTTCCGAAAACTCAGTACAAATCACCTGCTGTTTTTGCATCCGAAATCCGGAAACTGTGTTTTTTTTCAAGAATGATTGTTATTTTCCCTCAAGCTCGTGCATATTAGAGTTTTGATCTTCCGCAAGGTTAAGCCAGTTTTTCAACTGCACCCAAGCCAACATTTGTGTTGCAATTGAGTGAGAGTTTCACTCTATTTTTCAGCCAATTTTTCAACTGCACCCCAAGCCAACATTTGTGTTGCAATTGAGTGAGAATTCCACTCTATTCTTCAGCCCGTTTTTCAACTGCACCCCAAGCCAACATTTGTGTTGCAATTGAGTGAGAATTTCACTCTATTTTTCAGCCAGTTTTTCAACTGCACTCAGGCCAATGTTTAAATGAAGATCAATTAGGATTTTCCTCTATTTTTTTAACATACATCAAAAATTTTGTCTTTTCTCAAACATTGATTATCATTTTATTTAAACTCAATCAATGTGGGGCAATTTGTAGACACCAAATTTTGATCTTACCTTTGTAATTATCATTATTAATTATCTGATAATATTATAGTTATCGTTTTCTTTGCAAATAAGCATTATTATTTTGATAATTATTTTTATAAAATTAATGACGCTCGTTTTATTATTTAAAACAAAGAAAACGAGTAATAATAATGATTTTTATTCATAATTCCCAAAATACATGTTACAATTTGTACTTCTAAACTACTAAATTACAAAATATTGAAGTACAACTGACACTACATGCATTTCTACCCTGCTCCACCGACGTAATTTTTGGGTTTTTACTTATGGATTAACAAGTAATACAGCCATTAGGAGGACCACTAGCCCCACAATGTACATGAAGTACACCCTTATCATCCTCAAAGGTGAAGACAGGCTGATCTTCTTGGTTTTCGTGAAACATGGTGGTTGAGTTTAATGGTGGTTTTTATTTGATTTTTTCGAGTAAGGAGGAAGATGGAAGAAGATAAGAATTAAATGGTGAGTGGAGATTTTGGATAAGGGTAATTTCTTTTTATAGTAAAAAGTAAGTATTTTAGACCTTTTTTTATACATATATGTATAATAATCGTATAGTATAAAGTACAATATTTTTTGTCTCGCCAGGGGAATGTGTCATTTTCCTTATAAACAAGCATTGTTTAACCCTTTAGAGTATAGTAAGTATATTAATATGTTCACTTAGACTGTTATAGTGCTTTTTTATTTTATGTAGTGATTTTTTTTTTTTTTTTGTGATTTGTGCACTACTCTATTATATGACCAGTTTACCTAAGTTATAAAGTCCACTAATCTAAGAACTCATGCCCAACCAATGTAGGGAAATGACAAACATTCCCTCATCTAAATAGGTACTACATGTTGTAGTCCTAAAGGAACCTCCTTGAATGAACACTTTTTACCATTATTAATTGTGGGCTAAGATAATACTACCTTTTTATTTTTTTTTATGGGAAATTCTCTTTGGTAAACTTCAATTTTATAAAATTCTAAGTGGTAAACAAAGTTTTTTAAAATTATCTTTGGTACTCTTTAACTTTTAATAATTATTAGTGGTGCCATTAATTATTATATTTTATAAAAAATTTAACTATATTTAGGTTTTTTTATTTTTTTAACAATAACATTTAACTATAGTTAGGTTTTTAATTTATTTTTTAATAATTTAATAATTATACTAATTCTTTACAAAAAAAAAAATCAACCACCCTTCCCCCCGCCCACTGCCAGCTCCCCCTCCCCTCCCCTCCCTTGCACCCACCCACGCCGGCGCACCGGCCGCCCAACCTTCATCGGTGCGCCGTCCTCCCCTGGAAACGCCGACCTCCCCCAACCACTGTTCGCCGCCCTAGAAACACTAAACCCAACCCAAAAACACCAAAAAAAAAAAACCAAACTCGTTTAGGGTTTTTAAACCAAACCCAGAAATCGAGTTTGAGTTTTTAGGTGGTTTAGGGGGCTGGTTTTCGAGGAGGCAAAGGGGATAGGGGTCGAATCTGGGTGGGGGTCAGGGGAGGAGGGCCGATTCCTACAGGGAGAGGGTCGTGGCGTAGGGGAAACGGGTTTGGGTTTTGTGGTGGTAAGAGGTTATTTTGGAGGGAGAGTGGGCGATTTTTGGGGTTGGAGTGGGCCAGTTAGGGGTGGTTTTTGGGGTTAGGAGTGGCTGGCCG